ATATTCAATCACCGGGGCTAGCATTGGGTCCCTGCATCTGCCTGCACATGTTTATGTAGGCAGTTTCTTTTAATCCATTATTTAATGAAAGGGAAAAGACTGGAAAAGGGCTAAGCCCGGTGGTGGGGAGGATCTCATTATCCCAGAGGATCTAGCCCTCAACAGAACTTTTCCTCTTTTCTCCCGGAAAATGCAGCCTGAGAAGGCAAATGAGTTCTTAACCTTGGTTTGAGGTCTAGGGGAGAGAGGTCTGTTAATTAGGAGAGGAAATTTGGAACATCTCACGCCCCTTTTTGGAGTCCTTTGCAGCTGGGTGGATCCTACAGGGTGGACCTTACAAGGGATAGATGTTATCACCCAGTGCTCACTCCTTGCTGTGGGGTCCCCGGGGAAGCGCATTTAATTTCCCTCCACTGTTGATTAAGATAATTTAGTCTTAAGATATCACAGAGATTTAACAGAAGTGAAAACTTTCTAAGGTTAAAAGTACAAACAAAAGCTATTGCAATACTGAGGCAAAGCTGGGTGATGGCCAAGGCAACAGGGGTGATGGTGGAAGCTAGAGAAGGTTCCGGGAGAGGCAGGGAACACCCGAGACCCCAGAAGCCAGGTCTGGGGCAAGAGTGGCGTCCCCGAGCCCGGGCACGAGGTGCTGGCACTCGGGCTAGGGCTGGTCTGGGGAATGTGGTTGGGCTCCAGTTCCAGTAATGGACCCTCTGCGGTGGGAGTGGGGCGGCACGGGTTGGCCCGAGGGGACAGGGACTTATGTTTGGGCATAGCTGGGCGAAGGGGACCAGGCTCACCTTTCAGCGCTTCCTTCATCGCGAAGCGCTCGCCTGGGCTGAACTGAGAAGGGATTTGCGGCGCCCGCTGATGCCCCTGGCCCTTCAGGCCCTTCGATCTGGAGACTGTGGAGATACCTAGCAGCAGCACAGCCGCCAGAGCCAGCACGCAGACACACTGCGGAGCCATGCTTCTCTCCGGTCTGCAGCTGGAGTTTACAAGCTCTTGTTTGTCGTCCTGTCACAGCTCCAATTCCCGCAACTGCCTTAGTCCCACCCTAGCCCCAGGCCTGACCAATCGCTGCTTGCCCTGGGGTTGAGAACCACCCAATCGGCGGGACGGCTCCGCCCAGGTCCGCAGGGCATTTTGGGAGTGGTCGTTTCTCCAGCTGCGGCAGGCAGAAGTAGAGCAAAGGTGAGGGCTCCAGGTAAACGGTAGGTCTTCTGTGTGCTTGATCTTCCGCTTTGAGATTCTCAGAAATCCCTTGCTGTATGACAAGCCAATTAAAGGGGGGAGAGGCAAAATAAAATCAGCAAAGCGTATCAGACCTTAATCTGCTTCTCACTTCTGAAGTTTAGAACTTGATTACCATCCCCCCGGATATGGTGGGGGAGCTTTCCTGGTCCCTGGCTTTATTTAATCTGAAATTGAAACAGTAGTCCTCTATTTATAGACGTTGCTTTGAATGATCAGTTCAGAGGGCTTGCCCCAGTTTAGGAATTCGCTGAAAGTGGTTTAGATATTAATGTAAACACTGCATTTTTTGGGGGGAATTGGAGAGACAGGTGAACCATGAGAGACTACGGACTTTGAGAAACAAACAGGGTTTTAGAGGGGAGTGGGGAGGGGGATTGGTTAGCCCGGTGATGGGTATTAAGGAGGGCACTGCTGCATGGAGCACTGGGTGTGATAGGAAGACAGTGGATCGTGGATCACCACATCAAAAACCAATGATGTATGGTGACTAACATAACATAATAAAATTAAAACAAACAAACAAACAAAAAACACTGCATTTTTGCAACTCTAGGCAGGTACATGAAGACTGAAGGATTTTGAGAAAGATTGTGTTTTAATAATTTTGATGTATTTAATAAACTGAAATTTTATAAATAGCTATTTGTCCTATGAAGGATAATTTTGGAAAAAAAGAAAATTGTGGCACAGAGAATAAAATTAGATTTATTGGAGCCAGAAAAAACCCATTCCTTTCATATCCCTTGATGCAATTTAATCCACCACCAGTCACAAAGTTTAAAATTCTCTAGAAAAAAATCAATAGTAGGGCTGTATAGCTACTCATTCCCAAAGCTGCAAATTTACACTCCTGGTGTTTGCCAAAGCTCGGAGAAGGAGTGCTTTGTTCCCTTTCGGGAATCCTACTTAAAATAATAATAATAGTAATAATAATAATAATAATCCCAAACAAAAAACTGCAGTCATATATTTACTTGTCAATAGCAATCTAAAAACAGTATTATGAAACATTTCACACATACTGAAAGGTGTAAAGAATTAATATAATGAACATTTCTGTATTCACCACCCAGCTTAAGATCTAGAACATTAAAAATAGAGTTGAAATGAGTTTTTGTAAAAGTGTAAACATTGGGGGTGCCTGGTGGCTCAGTTGGTTAATCATCTGACTCTTGATCTTGGCTTGGGTCATGATCTCAGAGTTGTGGGATCGAGCCCTAGGCTCACCGGGGAATCTGCTTGAGATTCTCCCTCTCCCTCCCTGATAATAAATAAATATTTTTTAAAAAGTGTGAACATTAGCAGAATTTTTAATACAAAGCGGCTTAATTTCTACCAAATTTCAAAAAAAATTTTTTAAAGATTTTTATTTATTTATTTGAGAGAGAGTGAGAGAGATCACAGAGGTAGAGGGAAAAGTAGGCTTCCTGCTGAATGTGGAGCCAGACGCAGGGCTCAATCCCAGGATGCTTAACCAACTGAGCCACCCAGGTACTCCCAAATCTCAAAAGTTTTATGATTTTAAAATTAATGTACATTTAGGCCCTTGTGAATTATTTGAAGAATACAATAAAATATAAAGAAAACAAATCATGCTTCTTACATGGCTAGTCCTTTTTGTTTTCTTGCTAATAAATCTTTATTTCAAGGTCATACATATATTTTGATGTCTCACCTTTTAAAGTTTTAAACTTTGTCTTTTTTTTTTTTTAAAGATTTTATTTATTTATTTGAGAGAGAGAGAATGAGAGAGCACATGAGAGGGGGGAGGGTCAGAGGGAGAAGCAGGCTCCCCGCTGAGCAGGGAGCCCGATGCGGGACTCGATCCCCGACTCCAGGATCATGACCTGAGCCGAAGGCAGTCGCTTAACCAATTGAACCACCCAGGTGCCCTAAACTTTTGTCTTTTATATGAAAAATAAAAAATCATATCCAGAGATATTAACTCATAATATGTTGATGTGTTATTCAACCTTTTTTTATGCCCTCAAATACTCATATATAAGGTGTGTCTTTTTTATTTTTATTTTTTTTACAAGGTTAATAAGGCTTTAATTTCACACAGACACACAAAACCCTATGTATAATTTAAAAAGGAAACAAAAGTAAGTAAAAATGATAAAGGATATAGAGGACAGTTCTGCTAAAACACAAAGTGCAGCTCCATACAAAACAACATAAGGAATCAGAATCAAGTCACTCTGAACACAAAGAAAAAAAGTCACTCCACAAGTAATGTGGCTAAAGCTCCCAGCAAATTTCATTAGGTGAAGTGTAGGAAACTTACACCCATTTCTCTCTTTATAGCATAAGTAAACAACACTGACAACAGGCCAGAGGACTAGGGATAGAAGGACAAGCTCAGAGAGGGATGGAACCTGGAGATGAGAGGTGTGTGGTCTCACTCTCCAAATCCCCTCAGTTCTTGAAATAGGCCAAGTCAGTTGTTTGCTCTTCATTGTCTGACATTTGACCTACTGAACTTGGGTCTTGATCCGGACCCTCATCCCCTTCCGCTAGTGAACACGCCTGTACTTCAAACCTCTTAAAATGAACTTTAAGAAAAGTCCAATGTTACTGGGGCGCCTGGGTGGCTCAGTCAATTAAGCATCTACCTCTTGGTTTTGGGTCGGGTCATGATCTCGGGGTCCTGGGATCAGCCCTGTGTTGTGCTCCTCGCTCAGTGTGGAGTATGCTTGTCCGTCTCCTTCTGCTCCTTCCCCTGCTCTCTCTCTCTCTCTCTCTGGAATGAATAAATAAAATCTTACCCAAAATGGGAATGCAAGCTGGTGCAGCCACTCTGGAAAACAGTATGGAGTTTCCTCAAAAAGTTGAAAATAGAGCTACCATACGATCCAGCAATTGCACTACTGGGTATTTACCTCAAAGATAGAAATGTAGTGATCTGAAGGGGTACATGCACCCCTATGTTTATAGCAGCAATGTCCACAATAGCCAAACTATGGGAAGAGCCAAGATGTCCATCAACAGATGAACGGATAAAGAAGATGTGGTGTGTATACATATATATATGTACATATATATATGTATACACACATACATACATACACACACACAATGGAATATTATGTAGCCATCAAAAAAACCACACGAAATCTTGCCATTTGCAACGATGTGGATGGAACTAGAGGGTATTATGCTAAGTGAAATTAGTCAATCAGAGGAAGACATGTATCATATGACCTCACTTATATGAGGAATTCTTAATCTCAGGAAACAAACTGAGGGTTGCTGGAGTGGTGGAGGGTGGGAGGGATGGGGTGGCTGGGTGATAGACATTGGGGAG